CCTCATCCTCTAGGCGGGTCACCTGGTCATATTATGTTTCATTTTATAGAATGGTTTATGAGGGCACTGAAGTTGATGCCCTAGCTCGTTATCTTGGCTGGGAATTCCAACAGTTCTTCTGAAAAAGTAGTGCTTAAGTTGGTGATGTCACAGTGAGCCTGCAAGTAATCTGTGGAGCTGTTTGAGCTTTCTGCTTCTGAAAGGTTAAGTAGCAGCTCATACAGCTGAAGCAGAGACTCATCTGTTCTGATGACAGTTATTTTGCTACTTGATGCTGTGGGCAGTTTCTTTCCACTATAAAAAAAAAATGCTCAGGACAGTGCCATGAGAGTAAATTTTACAGAAAGCATTGTACTTCTCCAACTTCTGTTTCTGTCAGTGAGGAAACAGAAGAAACTGAGGGGAAACTGGGGCACTGGAATTACTATGTGTTTAGGATTTGCCGTGGCTTTAGAATTGCTTGTGAAACTAGGTTTTCGTTGACATGAGGGAGTGGGTTCCCATGTAGGATTCCTTTGAACAATGATATATTTGGCCCATCTTGTCTTTCCTGCTTCTCTTTCTTGATTTGTCTTATTTCTGACACTATGCTTAACAGTAACATACAAAATCAAAGTATTGAAGTGTACCAAGGACTGCTATATGAACTAGAGCGTTAGCCAAGATGCTCTACTTTGACCAGATAATCAGATTTGAATGATTCCAATGAAGTGAATATTAACATCATTCTCACTAGGTGAACCAGTACCTGAAAGGGTGTGCATGAAAGAGTGATGTCATGGGTTGAAAGATGATACAGTATTTTCTTATGGGTAGTTATAAGCCACTGGGTTGAGTCAAATTTTATGTACTGTGAAATTAGTTATCTATAAAATATAATCTAAGCTTCAAATAATTTAGAAAAAATAGTTTAAGCTGAAGAGTAATCTCTTCTACGTGTTATTTTATCCTGGACAGCAGCAGCAGAGATTGTAATTGATTACCCATTTTGTCTGCGCAAAGATGTGGTATAATTGTCTCAGTTTTCATTTTTCCAGGAATTCAAGAATTATCTCGAATCAATACATACTGATTTTATTGTATTTCATGGTTTTTGCGTCCTTAGAGGTATTTAAATTGACAAGTAAGGTTTCGTTTATTTCTACTTTTCAGGAGCCACATATTCTTGTACTTGGCTGGTTTAGTTTGCTGATACTTTCTGTCTGTCTCATGCAGCAAAATGTGTAATTAGGAACACCTCTTTGTATGTTTATCGAATTTTAAATATTCAAGAACTCTACTGAAACTACTTGATATCTTTCCACTCCCTTCCATAGAGGTAGAGAACTGTGGAAGATGCCTCTTTTTGTACATTAATTGTCTGTTGCTAAATCCTTAAGGCATGAAGAAAATGCACCGTTGGGTTCCTCAGGTTGCTTATTCATTTCTTTGAAATAATGTACCATTTGGCTGTAATTCGGTTGCCTTTTAAATCATTTAAATAATGGCTACAAATGTAAACTGTGACAGTGTTTGAGCTGAACACTGGGGCTATCAATATGTGAACAAAAAGCATGTTCTATGCGCTAGGAAGTAAATAGTTTTTGATAGTGCGAACTCTTTGAGATGGGGACGCGTCTCATCCCACAGGCAGAAGCAGCGCGTATCAGGTATTAGAGGAGACATGATTGATGACAAGATCAGAGACAAAGCAATACAAATACCCATACAAATATCAAGTAAAGGTTCTCAGGTGGACAGTAATACGTGTTTTATTTGCTCTGTTCCTAGTGGTTTCTGTAACGCGAACAGTACTGGTGAGAAGCTTGTAGTATTGTTAAAGGCTTCTCTGTTCTTTTTCTCAAAGGGAAACAGTTCATACTTTCCCAACACCTTGTTTGGGTGGCCTAGTTTTGCTTTGGTTCTTTATTTTTGTCTTCAGCAATAGGATGGAATTCTTTCAGTAAAATTACTGGACGGTTTTCTCCCACTTGATCCTGCAGTTTGATGCTTTGACATTTGCCTGGAGCCTCGTGCTGTCTTTAAAGCAGGGGCATTAATTTGGGAAGTGCAAATTTCTCCTCCTCTCTGCAACAGCCAGGCTAGCAAAACAAAGATTTATGGTGAAATTGCCAGTTATAAAGCTGAAAACAAGTGCAGCTGTAATTTATGCTTAACGATAGTATTATTACAAGTTGCCTTTGTTATCCACGAACTCAATTCTTATCCTAGCTATGAGAGGACAGGACCACTCCATGTTTGCTGTATTTTCACACATAAAATTGTTAAGTTATCTGGAAGAGGAAAAAATCATGAAGCTATCCTTTATCTTTCAGATTACTGTTTTTTTAAAAAAACAAAGTTACTTCTATCCCCCTTAATTTTAGTAAGGTCACATGTATTTATTCCACTATCTCTTTGAATGCATGTGTATTTCTGCAATCTCTGCAAACTGGCATGACCTTAATGACTATGTAAGTGACTGAAACTGCTATATAGTGTTGTTTGTAGATTCTGTATACATCAGACAATTGGATAAAGTTTGTCATTGTTTCCAGTTGTTAAAATGGGGGGGGGGAATAGCTCTTATTTTCATATTTAAAAATAAATTTGAAGTTACTGCTGCAGTTGGAAACTGTTTCAAAAATCATTGTATTCCGGAAGATTAACCTCTTTGACAACTACTTATAATACTTACCTGAAAACAGGCATTTCAGAGTACATCATTAAACATCAATTATTGTGTTGGGGTAAAGTTTACAAAAATTATGCAAGACTTACTACTCTTATTATAGACTACTATTCTTATTATAACTTTGCAAGGCATCCTTACTTTTAGTATGAAATCCTTTCTTTTAGGATGCAATCCTTTGATGCTGATACAGACTTTGCCCTGCTTGACCATACAGCTGTAACTGGAGAAAATACAATAACACTAGTAACTGTTTTTCCTTTTAACATACCTTCTCCAGGTAGATACGGACAAAACTGGGGAAACAAGACTTATAGAGCTGGACGAGTCATACAAGAGCGAGCATACAGTTTTCATAACACCACCTGAGATCCCTCATCTGCCAAATGGTGAAGAGCACCCTCTACAATACAGGTAACCTAAGGACACGGTGGGATGCTAGCCAAAATCCTAACAGCTGCCCTTGCAGAATTTAGTTTCTAGGTTCTTGTGATAACCACAAAGTACAGCTTTTTCCTGTCCCTTTGTGTTGCTCAAGTAAAAATGTGTATGTAAAATGCTTAGTGTGCCAGCTCTTTTGAAGTTTGAATGATTTTGTGTGTGCATACACACAGAAGCAATAATACTTAATAAAGCTGGCTGTGTGTTCACATTACATTGTGCTAGCTGTTGACACTTTTTAAGGTTAAAATTGAAATTAATGGACCCAGTCTGTTGGCCTGCTGCTACTGAGAATGATACAAGCTGCAGATACTCTTTGGAAAGAGAGTACATTTCAAAGAATCACTGAAAACTGGTGTTACTAATTTAATAATTATGTCAAATGAGTTTGTCTACTGGTTTCTTCATTAATTCTAAGAAACATGTTAAAATCTAATCTAATTTAATCTTTTAGATAGTTTGATATTGTTCATATTGATTTTTATAAACCTCTGTTTTGTGATGCTAAGCCACACAGATTTTTTTTTTTATTAACTAGGATCAATACTAATGTATTTGACACATCAATTAAAGAAAATGCTATGAAAGCAAATGTATTTATCAATTTAAGTTGCTTACACTGAAATAGCAGGTTAAGAGAATGTACAGACTTAAGAAATCGTGCAGATGGTATGCACATGACAAACCACTTTGTCAACGGTGTCTTTAAAGGCTTACTTTTGTGTTTTCTATTTCCTGTGTAGCTTCTAGTGCAACTCTGTAATTGATTTCATTTGATGTGATGTGTTTACTTTGGAACTGCCTTACAGGAGTTGTGATGCATTTCTTTTACAGCTATAATGGATTTCCAGTATTAAAACTGGATTTGTTTGAGCGACCTGAAGGATTTCTCACAGCACCAAATAACAAACTGTCCTCAAAAGCCAGTAGTCCCAACAGCCCGTCGCCAATGTTCAGAAGAACTAAACAGGTATTTGTGGGTATTCTTGTAGCGTGAGGTGGTTTGGGAAGTGACAGCTTGCTGCCTTCACCTTGAATTTGGCTATAAAGACTGACTGGCAGTGGCTGCAGCCTAACTAATGGTTCTTCACTGATACGGTGGCTATAGGGTAGCCATGCTAATTGTTCTTGGGATGTTTACCTGTGCTTCTTGCCTACACTGTATCATACAGGGCCCTTGTACACAGATTGTCATTTGCTGTGCTGTCCCTATACGTTCCGTGTTCTTCATGCTGTTCTCCATAAGCATAAATTGTTGGGCTTCCACATCCACTTTTTGATTGCTTTTCAGTCACCAGGGCTTTAAGAGGGACTCTAAACGTCAAATGTTCCTTACAAAAAATGCAGACCAAAAGTAATAGACATAAATTTAAAGAAATGCAAGGTTTTGAGAGGAACATTGCATAGCAATTGTTTTCTCTGCTTTCATTTTCTTTCCCACTTTATTATGTTGTTCATATTAATGTTGCAATTTCTGTATGGATAATGATACATGTTCATTTTTTAACATGTAGGTTTGTGTAATATGTATGTAAATATACACAAATAATCTTTATGATTCTTTACAGGAAATTAAATCTGCACATAAAATTGCTAAGAAGTACTCTTCCATACCACAGATGTGGTCCAGGTGTTTGTTACGTCACTGCTATGGTCTTTGGTTTATCTGCCTTCCTGCATATGTGAAAGTGTGCCATTCAAAAGTCAGGGCTCTGAGAACAGCATATGATGTGCTACAAAAAATGCATACCAAAAAAATAGATCCACCTGATGAGGTAAAAATAAGTCGACCCCAGAATTTCAGAAAAAGCCTATGGGTTTTATTGAATGGAGTACGTGTTTGACTATAGAAGCACAATACTAACTTTTGTGTATTTTCAGGTATGCTACCGAGTACTCATGCAGCTGTGTGGACAATATGGTCAGCCTGTGCTAGCAGTGAGAGTGCTTTTTGAAATGCAGAAAGCTGGCATTGACCCTAATGCCATTACTTATGGCTACTACAATAAGGTAAGTATTTTTGAAAGAGGAGGGGGGGAAAAAAATACGCATTTTTATCCAGGCAAATAGAAGCAAGCGAAATAAGGGAGCAGTTAAGATGTAATTCTGTCACTTCTAGTAACTGGAAGAAATACAAGACGGAACAATTGTGTTGGTTTTGTTTTTGTAGGTTTAGAAGTCTACTTTATAACTGCTAACATAACCCAGTTTGAAATTTAAGTTAATGATTTCACACCTCACTGTTCCTTATGATTACTTTATTTGACTTCGATATTTTCAAAATAGGCTGTTTTGGAAAGTACCTGGCCTTCAAGCAATCGAGGTGGCTATTTCCTATGGATGAAAATACGAAACGTCGTTTTAGGAATAGCACAGTTTAAAAAAGCATTGAAAAAGCTACCAGCAAACACCTCGCATGCAGCCATTCCTGGTAGAGTATTCACATCCTTTTCTTTTTTATTTTCGTGTTGATAAGAAAATTATTTCAAAAATCTTTCAGTTGTGAGTTTGATTATAAAACAGTTTTAGACCAAAAAAAATTCTTGCATAATTTTTTAAAAACTGTGGGGTTTTGTCTTTGAATCCAAAATAGTCTGCTTTTTATTTATTGTGTCAGCTCTTCATGGAGACAAAACATGAACCGGAAATCGATGTGGTAATTATCCTAGTTCATACAATAGCCAGTCTCATAACCGGCAGAAACTTCAATCTAGCCTTGCCTCCCCCCCCGCCCTTTTTTTGATGTTAGTTAAGAAGCAACTAGAACTAGTCCTTGAGTTTGTAGTAGTGTTTGCAGGTTCTATGTACCAACTGAAATGATCATATTTATTTTTATCTGGAATATAAGTACAATATTGGAGGCTGTAATTTTTGGTTTTCTTTCCAGTAGAATATGTTCAAATGGCTGTATTACCATGCTGGTGATTGCCTGTAGTTTGTAGGGGTTTTTTTAGGTACTACTTTCCACAGTACTTACTACTGATAAAGCAAGATAGTACATTTTAAAATAGCAGCAAAACAGTTAGTTTAGCTGTAGTTGACCTTGGCAGACCTTTACAATATACATTTATAAACGTATACATGTATAAATGCATGATGATTAGAAGATTCTGTGAATCATCTTTCAAGGTCCCTTCCAACCAGGGTTATTCTATGATTCCTGACAAACAGAATAGATATGATGGCCTTATGGCTAGACTATTTTTCCTAGATTCGGGAGACTACGGTCCTACTTATGGCTCCATCACTAGCCTTCCGGATGACTTTGAACAAATTTGCTTTATTTCTGCCTGTTCTTCATGAAGCTGACCTTCCTGATAAACCACTGTTTTGAAACCCATACAGTGCAAAGCACTGTATAAGAGCTTAGTGATGTTGGTCACAACTCGGACCATGTAAACAAGGTGTAATTAGTCCTTTACTAAGTAACTGTCATTTATATAATTTGCTTTTGACATCATCTGGTTTTTCAAGATCTCTTTGCATGAAAGCACATAGCTAGAATTCATGCTGACTCTTGAGGCAATCCCAAAAACTTTTCTATAAATTCCAGAATATTTTGTTATCTTTACAATAGCAACGAGGTGTTCACATTCTCTGTAGATTCAGTGCAGCATCTTTAGGGAAAAGAGGGAAAGAAGCTGGCTTTCAGCCATGTTATACCCTCTTGATCCTGGGCAGGTGCTTTACTGTTATCTCCTAAATGGCATGAGAGTAAATCCCCTAAAGATGCTGTGGGACTGCTGGAGACTTCAAGTTGACCTGGAAAAATGACATGGAGTGCGTGCGACTTGAAGTGCTCACTTAGTATTTCTAGTGAACAGAAACTGTCTTATCTGCTTTGTTAGTTTGCTTTATTTTGGTGCTAATGCTTTATAAAAACCTGGAAGAGGAACAACCTTTAGGCACAACCTAGTGTTGAGTAAACTTGGTTCTTGAAATCAAATTGGTCAGACTATATTGGGGCAGTGTTTTGTCTTAAGAATGACCAGATAGGGGCTTGAATGTTCACAGGGCTTTTTTTGGCTGGCATTGGTTATTTTTATTTTATTTTTATTTTAGTCTTATTTTGCAAACAAACTCATGGTTGCTGCTGCATTGTTTCAATGGTTTTGCTTTCTAGACTAAAACCATGAGAATTACATGCATTAACTCTGAGAAACATACTGTGCTAAAATGAAACCATATTTAGATGCCTCTTAGAATTCTTGAAAAGATGTGACATTTTGATCAAATAAACTAGGCAACACAATCAAAGACAAACAGTGTTTTAGTACAGTATTTAAAAAGAAATGTTGCAAATTACCCCTTTAATTTTCCTGTAGAGAGTATCACTTCAATGTTTATTTTGTAAAAGTAAGGCAATCATTTTTCTCATGTTTTTGTGGTAAAATGTTCACTGTTAATTGGAATGTACTTGATAAGAGGCCTTTGAATTACTGTGGATATTCAATTTATTCTGTTTAACAATGTCACGCTATTAAATACCATAATTGTCTTTATTCTGTCGTTGCCCTGTTATGACAGGGGGACTTTCAGACTTTGGCAATAACACATCATTCAAAGAAGAAGCCAGGCAAGGGAAAACTTGTCTTCAAGATATACAAGAACAAAAAGAGGACAAGGAAGAGAGTGACTCCAGTTCTTGTATGTATCTTGTGAATACAGATATCTAGTTCATTGTGGATAAATAGGGATTTCAGCAAAAGCTAAGTGGGGCAGCTGATTTTTTTTTTTTTTTTTGCAGTGAGTGTATATGATAATGCCAGTTTATGCCCATGCCTCAAGTTCTTTTCTCTAAATGTAATTTTCTGGATATCTAATGGTTTAACTTTTAAAATTACAGTTCTTTTTTTTCCCCCTCTTCTGTTTCAAATAAGTGATAATGGTAATATAAAGACTAAATGATAATTATGACTTAATGTTTTTGTCTTTAAAAAAAACCTAAATTGCTTTATAGGCATAATCTATAGGACAGCCTTTTGTACCAGTCTGTTTTCTTTATAAATCCCATAAGAGGAGAACAGCTGAATTTTTGCAGGTCTGTGAGAGAGGTCTGAATTACTCAGCTCCCTGGAATTCTCAAAATTTAGGAGATGCATCAGAAATGAGATGGGCTTTGGATTTGCTGTGGACTTTTTTTTTTTCCTTCAGGTTTTACATCTGCTACTCACGATTCCTTTAACTGCAGTTGGGCAGCATAGACTTTATGCAAGCATATAGCAGATCAGATTGTGTAGTAAAAATGTATAAGTAATATAGATTCCCATATACATTAATTGAGAATACTCTTCATAACAAATGATCTCCTAATAATACCATTATTTAAATTTTTCAGTGTGCTTTTTGCTACTATTTAACTGTCCCCTTGTCAAGTGGGAGCTGTGTAAAAGTATGAGAAAATATGGAACCAGAAAAGTTACTTCAGTGTTTTCTTTTCACCACAGTCTTCCTTCTAGCATTAGTATTTTTTCTTCCATTTGCTTGAAAATTTGTGTAAGTGTTTAACCCATGGTCATAAGAACATACTTGTAAGATGGCAGGCAGGTTATTTAGGTTTAATAAAAGTTTTGAGGACACAGAAAATGTGAATTCTGCTGAAAGCTTGCATTATTTTTAACCATAATTAAGACAAGCTTGTGTCTCTCTATAGTAGTATTATGTGCTGAAAATGGTTTACGCTTTTGAATACAACTTGAGAATATTAAGTTGCTTGAATTCCTTTAAAGAAGTAATTGTCTGTTTTGCGTAGCCACCTGACAACAGAATTTGTCTTTCATATCTAAAAGAGGTGAATATAAATACTGAAACACTTGCTTCATTTCTCTCGTGTAGTCATGGTCATGGGGGTCATGGAATCTCTACGAAGAGAGGCTCGTTGACCCTGAGCTGTTGCAAAGGCAGGAAAAAATACTCTTAATGCCTATCATTTGCAAGTGAACAAGAGTGGTCTTAGTCTCCACAACCACTACAAATTTGGTGTGCAAGTACTGCTTACTTGGACTCTGTGTACAGAAGCTTAAGAAACTTCAAGTTATAAAAGTAGTGCCAGGAATTAAATATCCATAGTTCAGTTGTTCCAGCTTGAAAACCTCTGCCCAAGTAGATATCAGCCTGTGCATTATGGGATATGTACAACATGCTGTCACTTAATCCTGCCTAAAGCGTCTAGTAGGTAATGGAAACTTGAGATTTAAATTAAATTGCTTTGACTCTAAAGAAGTGTCTGTCATTTTCTATATACAGTGTCTGAAGTGGAGAGCACAAAAGGGAGTGGTGACTGCCTACCTAAACTAAATTATCAGAACTCAAGTAATGCCAAAGCTGCTTCTAGCATAGTGCGGCTCAACGGTACAGTTGACAATACCATCGCAGAAGCTAGCGTGGGTGAGTGGAAGAGGAAGTACATTTTGGTTCTTGTACAGTTTTTGTGTTTATGTATTCTATTTCTAAGAAGAGCTCCAAGCAGCGTGCCCCAGTTCTGTTGTCTGCAAAACTTGCCGCACTTTATTGGTGTAACGACAGTGACCAATGAAATTTGTGGGAACGACTTTGTGGGGGTCAGTTTAGGTTGGAGTCTGCATGTGCTCTGTCAGGGAGATGTCTGAATATTCTGCATTTCCAGATTTACTTTTTTTCTTGTTTGCCTTTTTTTTTTTTCCTATAGTTAACATCTGCTTACAAAATCCCATGTCTTTACTAATGTCAAATCTGGTTATTATAATACTGTCAGCTGTGCTTGAAATACTGTAATACCATACTTCAAAATCTGCATCTTTATGCTCTGGCAAAACAGTGGCTATTTCTCTGACAATAACTCTTTTTTTTTTTTTTTGTCTCTATTTCTAATTCATCAGTGTTGCACTTCTTTGCAATTTCCCTGGCTTTCAAACCTCTTAATAATGGAGTATGTCTCTGAAAGAGGAAACTAGATACATCTAAGACTTTTCTTGATGATGTCTCTCAAAGTATTCTTGAGTTGTGTGATTCGACTCCCTTTTCAATGTTTTATCATCTGACCCTTTCTAGAAGTTATGACCATGGTCAACTTCCAACCACTAGCACAATACTTAGTGAATTAATCTCTCAGTGTTGTAAACTGTTTGAAAGATGAGACAAATCTGAATTCTTTTGTAATTTTGTTTAGTTTTCTTGCGTAGCAAGAAATAAAGCACCTTTCATCTGTTTTTCAGAGAAATCTGTAGGATTGATGTTTACATCATCTTTTGAAGATGCCAGTGAAGGAGAAGTTATAAAAAGTAAATCCTTAAGAAAGAGACATAAAAGCGCAGTAGAACCTGACTTAAGGGAGATACCATGGGAAGGCAGAAACCGTAACCTCAGTGGAGATGGCTTAGTGGGACTCATGCTAAATAGAATAAATCAGGAAGCAAACCCTGGAGAAATTGTTGAAAAACTGGGAGCTGATGCCAAAATCCTATCTAGTGCATTACAGAAAAGCATAAGGCCAAAAACTCTTAATATCAGAACTTCCTCTTTAGGATCTAAGAGAGAAAGCCTGGAGAAAGAATCTAGTGATGAAGATGCAGCTTTTGATTGCAGTTTTACAGATAAAACAGAGTCTCCTGTTATCTTTGATCTGGAAGACTTGGATGCAGAACCTGAAACATCTACAGCAGTGAAATCCTCCAGTGAAAAATCTAGAAGGCTGCAAAGAAAGAGCAGCTTTCCAGTAAAGCCAGTTGAAAAGACAGATGTTGAAACAGGATTTGATCCATTATCCCTGCTGGTTGCTGAGACAGAACAGCAGAAAGAGGATGAGGAGGATGACGATGATAGAAGTGTTTCTACTCCATCTGCAAGGCGAGATTTAGCTGAAGAAATAGTGATGTACATGAACAACATGAGCAGCCCTTTGTCAAGTCGTGCCCCAAGTATTGAGTTGCAAAAACCCTATGATGACAGAAATGCTAATAAAAAGAGCCCAACAGTAATCCAACCTTGTAGGAGGTCCAGCCTTCCCCCGAACTCCCCAAGACCATCCAGTCTTACCAAATCCAAGAGCTATCATGCAAAAAATGAAGAAAGGCCAAGAGACAGGTTTTGGTCCTCCCCAGCTTATTCCCCAAACAGTCCAGCAAAGGAACAGCCACAAGATGCAACTAGTGCGTTAGCACTTGTGTCTTCACCATCATTCAACTTGGATACGCTGTTAACACCTAAGTTGGATGTTCTAAAAAGCAGCATGTTTTCTGCTGGAAAAGGGGTTGCAGAGAAAGCTAGCAAGTGGTACTCAAAATTTACAATGTATGCTGCATCCTCAAAGGTAAATTTTATAATTACTTTTTTGTACTCTCCTCCCCCCCACCCCACCCCCACCCTCAGGTCCTATAAATGAAGGAAAAAGCTTTGTAAAGGTTTATTCACTGACTTGTATGTGATGAATCCCCCATTTGAATGACACGCATCATGGTAGACTGTGCATTAAGTTGTTTTAATCATGTTTGAATTGCCAGGATCCTAATTTTATTGTCTTGAATCGAGCAAAATTTTGGTCTAGCATGAGGATATTTAATGGGAAACCGTAAGTATACTGTAGTGTGTTGACAGGGCAGAAAAGACAGCTCTGCCTTCCCTTACTTACCTAAAGAAAAAGATACTTAAACAAACAAAGTTTTTAAGTCTTTACTGCTTGTATGAAAAAAGGGATTTCATTTAGATATTTTTATTAAAAGAATATTTAAAAAAGAATCTTCATGTAGCTATTTAACCCTGAGTGAAACTTGCCTTGTTTCACATCGGTTCTGAATACATATCTGAGCTGAATGATTTTCCAAGGAGGAAAGTTCATGCCTTGAATTTACTGAGACAAGGAAGGCTGCCTCTTATTTTCAGAAATATTTTTGCTTTCCTTTCTTTTCCTCAGTGGAATGTGTTTTCTCCTCTCAGGATCAAAATTCAGACCGAGCAAGTGTTTCATCTCTTGGAGCTCTGGACTCAGAATCTACTTCCCTAACTGATGAAGATGTGTGCAATGATTTTGAAAGTGCTTCTCCTCAGGAGAATACTACATCAGAAATGAAGGGAATTGGCCTCAGCAGGACAAGCCTAGAAAGCTCAGCTTCCCACGATGGCTCATCAAAACAATTTGACCAGTGTGGTAAGAGGCAGCTTTTGCATTTCATTCATCAACGTGAACAAAAATATTCCAATTTTTGAAATTGTTCTTTCATAATTCTCAGTTTGGGATCATCCTAGTCATTAGTCATTTTTGTGGAAGAAGTAAATCTTTATTTTCCTACCTGCAAACTATTACTCATACCGAGATGTCCATACCTATGGATATTTTAGTTGTAGAACCTTGGTTTGGGTGTTCTTTTGTGTGGAACAACTTGCACAGTAACTTCTGTCCCTGAATAAGTTTCTGGATGCTACAACTATGAAAATAAAAGACCCGTTAAGTCCTTCAGTATTCATGTAATCATCTTACTTGTATAAGCTGTACAGCTCCAGAAAACGTCTACAAAAACTTTCAAATGTTAACTTTATTAGTCTGGTTTTGTTTTGTAAAAGTAGTAACTGTTTCTGGAAAATTGTTACCATTTTCTATAAATGACTGTTGAAGCTGATTATCAGACAGACTTTGGGGGGTTTTTTATTCCTAATCTGTGCTGGATAATTGGTAGTGACTGTTATATTGATTTCTGTGCTATTGTCATTACGCAGTACAGTTTGTTAAGCTGAATCAGGCTGAAAGGAGGATCTGTCTACTTAAATCCCTCTACTTAGCACCTAGAAGAGCATGCCCAGATTTGGCCCCCCAGTTTGTGGGATGTGGAGGAACTGGAGAGGGGCAGTGGAGGCTGCCATCATGGCCAGGGGGTTGGGGCATCCTGAGGCTGTGAGGGGAGCCTGGCTCGTTTAGTGTGGCGAAGAGAAGGGTCAGGGATATCTGCAGTCACAAGCAGCACCTCTTATCCTTTCCTAGTCTTTATCCAGAGAGACAGCGTGGGTATGAATTACTTAATCTGTAAAATTTGTTTCCAAGCTACCAACTGTTGTAAAAGAAGAAAACTGAACATATGGAAATTCTATGTTGGTAGATGGTATTTTTGCGGCTGGTGGTGCTAGGCAGATGGCAGCCTCACACTCCAGCTTCACGTTTCTTTCTGTCTGAGTATGTCTGATTTGTTGCATCTTCCATCACACATTTCATAACTGCAGTATTGTTTGACCAGAAAAAGAGTTTACTAAAAACGCATATTCTGAATAACTTAATACTTTGGGTTTCTTCTGTTAATAGGTTCTCTTTCAAAGTTCCCTCTGCCTGACAAATCAGAGTTGATATCTTCTTGCAGTACAAGCAGTACCAGTGTGTTTCAGAACTACGCTATGGAGGTACAAGATGATTTATTGATTTTAATTGATATGCTAAAAGCAGATGTTTTTAAATATAAATGCTATCTGAATCTCTGTTAAAGTTCAAAGCTTAAAACTAATCCACTGAAAGATAAATATTTCTGTGACAGACTAGCTTTCATTTCAAATCCTGCTCTAGAGATGTCTTTATTGCAGTTATATCTTTTGGTCCTTAAAGCTGCAGTTCTCAAGAATTTAAGAGTTGGATACCATTGAATTCTGGCACCTAAATCTCTTGCACAACTAAATTTGTTTAAGGTGAAAATACCAAGTCTTAAATAGCACTATACATTTAAAAAATACAGAATAGATAACTAGCTATTTCGTGTTGTAGCTTCTAGTAAGATCATTTTGGTTTTCACTATTACACTGGGTTTGGGTGGCTCCTTTTTTCTTCTTCCTTTTTTTGGTTCAGTGGATTTGGATTAACGACTGGTCATTTTCATCTTTTTTTCCTCTCATTTCTGTTATACTGACAGTCACTACAGAAGAATGTTCCAATTCTAAAAATGATTTTTGTAGCTGCATAATATTGCTGTACTATTGTGTTTTCAAACAGATTACAAATGATGTGTTATTTTTTATAAAAATACTATTGAATAACTGGCTGGCTTTACTCTGGGGATCCATAAAAGGATCACCTAACTCACTTAACTAAAGTATATTTATTTCACGAGCGTAGTTCCAGATCCCAGTCTACGTGCTACAATAGAACAAAAACCTGCATTTAATAAATTTTTCAGACAACGTTCATTCCAGTCATTTAGCATATCAGCTGTCTGCTAATGCAGTTTGGATTTAAGAATTAATAGTTGTTCTGAAATACACAGCTTTAAACCCAAATGTTGCAACCTAAAGCCTGGGAACAGATCTGTGGTTGAACTTGTACACAAGTGTTGAGCAGTATTCAGCTAAGGGCAAAGATTTTGGCAATAGTTTTAACTGCCTTGTAAAAGAAGACTAGTTTTGAGAATGTGTAACAGCGGAGTTCTGTTATCGCCTGTGTGCAGGTCCTCATCTCAAGCTGTTCACGATGCCGAACTTGTGACTGTTTGGTTCATGATGAAGAAATCATGGCAGGTTGGACAGCAGATGATTCAAATCTCAATACCACGTGTCCTTTTTGTGGCAATTTATTCCTGCCTTTTTTAAGCATAGAAATCAGAGATCTTCGGCGACCTGGACGGTAATAACATTATTTGAATTTTCCTTCGGTTTTGAATGCTCATAATTGTGAAGTGGTTTTTGTTTAATTTTTCTAGATAATATTAAGCTTTTGCTTTCCCTGCAGTTATTTTCTGAAGTCCAGCCCTTCTACAGAAAACATGCAGTTCCCATCACTTTTTGCAAATCAGAGTGGGAAGTCCTGTAACACTGCAGCTACTGTTGGTCTTGCTACATCTCTAATGTCTGTTCAAGAAGATATAAATTCAAATAGGTAAACCCGCGTTTTCTGCATAGAAGTTATCCAGGTTCTCTGTGGATGTGCATGTATTCCCGAGCAACAGAAATAAATGTACTAAGATACTGTCTGTAGAGGAGAAATTGTTTTGAGAGAGGATCTCCTTGCTGCCTCTCCCTTATCTCTGAGTTGGCCACGTCATACTTTTTCAGTATAGTGTTTACCATGTCATCCTAAATATAAAAATTCATATAGGCATCTGTAATTCTGCAGATTTTTGAACACTTTTAGGATGCTTGTGTTCATTATCAGCGCAAGGGGGAATAAAACTTGCACTGTAGCGTGAATGAGTGTGGTGGCTGACAAGGTAGAATTTGAGGCGTCAGGTTGATTATTTCAGATTTATTTCTATCTGTGTACATTTTAGAGCACTCAGACTAAAACAAAAAGCTGAGATTCTTAACTTTTTTTTTCTCCTAGCAAATCTAAGCAGCATGACAATATTTGTGCCAGAAGCATCCAGATCCCCACAGGAAGAAGACAAAATACTTCTGGGTCAGAATGTACAAGTCACCCTGTAGCAAGGAGTATCAGTACTTTTGGTCCATTGGAAGAAGATGAGAAGGAAAACCAGAAGATCAGCCATATCATTCCTACTGGTAGCCTGCCTGCTACTTTGCAAGGACCAACAGTGTGTAGTTTTTCTACCTTAAATGTTTGGGTTTTTTTAAGCATGTGATAGATCAGAGAAATGTGAAACAGCGTTAATTAGGAGAACAGAATTAACCATCCCAAATTATGAGAAATGCTAGGTTAGCTTTTAGATGTTGGTGTGTCTCAGGGAACAAAAGCATTCATAAGACTTGTAAAGATAGTTACATTCCAACTAATGGCATTTTTTTTTTCTTTTTACCATAGGATTCTTTGGGCCTAGAATGGCGCTTACCTAGTCCTGATCCTATAACAGTTCCTTATCTCAGTCCACTAGTGGTATGGAAAGAGCTCGAGAGCTTACTTGAAAATGAAGGAGATCATGCGATAACAGTGGCAGACTTTGTAGATCATCATCCTATTGTGTTCTGGAATTTGGTGTGGTATTTCAGACGCTTGGACTTGCCCAGCAACTTACCAGGATTAATACTTTCTTCAGAGCACTGTAATAAAAACTCTAAGGTATGGAATCAGTTAGGAAATACTGACATACGAGAAATACTTGTTTTCCCATATAGGAAATCATTAGATAATTCAGTAACTCTTAGAAATGTGTTTTACAATACGCTGGGCCCAGTCCCGAATTAGTAAAGAATGTGTAAACCGAGGGAAAACATGTGTAACTCCAGAACTCGGGCTCAGCAGTACGTGTGTGGAGTGTTTAGCTTTTACCACTCATACTGTAATTTGTGATCCTCAGTTACAAAGATAAGTTTCTAGTTGGTTTTATTGCAGTTTGACTAGTTAAGCAGTAGGAGGACAGAGTTACAATTTTCGGACTGTAGGAAGATTTGCTGTCACTGTGACATCCCATTCAGATTTTGCTTCCTCTGGTTTTACAGCAATTTTAATATTGAAGCCTTTTGGCACAAGGCCTATAGATGTGAAGATTTATTTTAAATACAGGAGTCCTCTGTCATGGGTCTGTAGTAAAATATCTTTCTTTATGCATTCTCCTGTTCAGATTCCACGAAACTGTATGTCAGAGGACAGTAAATATGTTCTTATTCAGATGCTATGGGACAATATGAAATTGCATCAGGATCCAAGGCAGCCTCTGTATATCTTGTGGAATGCTCAGAGTAAGCTTTGTTTCTTGTGATATTTTTAAAGAGCAATTTTCATTTTGAGCAACTGAAGAATGTTGAAAAAAGGTGTCCTTGTGGGTAGTTCACGCAAGATACAGAACTGATTTTTGATCATACTACTTTTTGTCTTGCAGGTCAAAATCGCACTCTTTTGTTTGAGAGTGAGTGTTAAGTTTGGTGTTGCTATTCTAAGTTTGTGGGACTTGTTTTGGGAGGGAGGGTGGTTGTATGTTTAGCAGTAAACTGCTTGAACGAGTTTAGTTTTCTAGAATATCTGTTTGAAATCATTGACCGGTATCTCCAGTGGCTTTTTTTTCATTGGGAAGGGAGGAATAAGAGGGAATATGTTTCAGTGACACACTGAACTTAAATTGTCAGTTCATCCACTTTGCTTGTTTTCTTATTTTTAGAATTTGCTTACTAAGAATTTTGTTGCCAGTGTTGGATCATATGCCTGAAAATAGCTCATGACCCATTACGGCTGTTGAGTTTCTCTTTAAGTGCTTTTTGTGTTTCTTTACGTGGATGTTATTTTGACTTGATGTTTATTGTTCTTTGTTCACTACATATATGTCAACATTTTCAGTTTGTGTAGCCTTCCACCTTTTTTAATAACATTTCTACTTGTTACACACAGAATGTATTTATTCTTACAGCTTTTCTAATGTTTTTCAGCCCAGAAGTACCCAGTGGTCCATTTATTGCAAAAAGATGATGACTCTTTTAACCAGGAGCTCTTGAGAAGTATGGTGAAAAGCATTAAGATGAATGATGTGTATGGACCAATGAGCCAAATATTGGAGAGATTGAACAAATGGCCACATATTAAAAGACAGAGGTAAGAATACAAACATGCCCAACTGGAGCAAGTTTGGACAACAATAAGGCTATATTTTTGTAGTGTGTTTGTTAAAGAAAAAAGAACTTTTTTTAGCAATGCTCTCAAGTTTGTCACTGAGGCTGGTAAATATTTTTCTTTTTTGTGATAACTTTCACAAACTTATTTTAGAAAAAAAATTGGAGAAACTAATTTTCACTCATTCCCTCTCCCCTTTATAGCCACCTCTTTTTCTTCTTACCTATGAATGATGGGAAGGCAAGTAGGGAGTGTGTACATCTTTGTATATTTCATTATTAAATGTTATATTTTTACAATATTTTTTAAAATCAAAAATATCCACTTGTTTCTAGCATGCATGGGTGGATTTTTTGTTTATTTTTAAGTTTCCAGTAGGGAAAAGAAGGGGGGGACCTAAGGTTAAGTTGCATATTTGGGAAGGTTTTTTCCATTGGCAGTGGAATCAGTGAAAATTATTTCCTATGAATTTGTATTTCTTGCCTGGATTTACTGATTTTTATTTAGAATAAGATACATAGCAGCCTTTTCAACAGCTAAAGCATTGACAAGGTGTTTATTTGGTTGTCTGCCTGCTTTTTCAAGATCATGTAGAAAAGCAAAAAAGCAAGCTCCTTACCCGATTGTCAAATTTGGTGGGTGCCTTAAGCGCATGCTTCGCTCTGCGTGTGCTTAAGGCATCTACTGACGTGCCGGAAATTGCATCAAGGACGCGTGATATCCGTATGTGGGGAGTCCAGGGCGTTCTCCAGAGGTCAGAAGTGGCAATGTTTTGGAGGTGGCAATCGGGAATTATGTTCAAAATGCCACTTTTTTTAAAAAAAAAAAAGGTATCTTTAAATGCTTCGATCTATTTTTAATATAGATTGTTTTGCGGGATATTATTGCAGTACATAAATAGACATTTCTTTTTATAATTTCAGGAGCCTTTACAGAGAAATACTATTTCTTTCACTTGTTGCCCTAGGAAGAGATAACATTGATATAGGTAAGTTTTATAAATTATTCAAATAAGCATAGATGATTAATGTAGGCAAACTAGTTTTTCAGCTTCCAAAAAAAACCCCAAAAACCTGTAGATTAGGTGTGTGCCTTTCTATGGTAAGTGCGGAATAAAAAGGACTTTACAGTTATTTTCCGCTGATAAGCGTACTAGCTGTCATTGTATTTGGGTTGTGTTTTTGAGCACGGTATATAGAATTTGATTTTCTGTTTCTGCAGATGCTTTTGACAGAGAGTACAAAATGGCCTATGACCGTCTCACAGCTAATCAAGTGAAGAATACTCACAACTGTGATAGACCGCCAAGTACTGGAGTGATGGAATGCAGAAAGATTTTTGGAGAACCATATCTTTAAATATACCTAGCTAAAGAGGTGATACCTATGATGTGTACCTGTGTAAAATAACCACTTCAGTAACCATAAGGAACATCTCAGTCTTCAGTGTTCAAGAATGTATGTACGAATGTACTGTGGCAGCCGGCCTTGGAAAAATTAGGCCTATCTACAGTTGTGGAAATGGATAGAGTGAAAAATGGGCCAAATATTATTTCCCTGTCCCTTGTCCTTTCTGCAAATCGATGTGTAGAAAGGATTCTAAACAAAAACAGTTCTTTAATTTGGGACAACATATTACAGTTCCCTTCTTAAAAGTAAATAACAGGTGGACAAACAATGCACTGAAACTAACGTGAGCGAAGTAAATTCTTCAAAATCTATTGTTTACATAGAATATTCATGATGTTATGAAGAGCATACAAAGTTGTATTATACATATTTTAAATTGTTTATAGTAAGTTGATATTTTTTTAATTTTTTTAAATTACTGGAGTGAATTTTAAATGGACTTGCTGCATAAGCAACGCAGTGCTTATTTTTTTTGCAGTACACTGCTATTTATAGTAACTTGTCCAGTTACTTTTTGAAGAGTGATTTGTTTTTAAAGCAGAATAGAAAATGTTAACCTTCACCTAGACAGTACTCTAGATACAGGATTCCTCTCATGCACACATGGAAAAACATGTTAACCACAGCAATCAGAAGGAAGGTATGGTAACCTTCGGAAAATCTCTACTAATGAAGACACTGATATCTCTGTAAAACACTTCTGTAGAAATCTCCTCCTCTTCTTTCCTGTTCCCTTCACTCCCCACCCCCTAGTACAGAGAAAGCATATCGAAGAGTCCTTACAGATTATGTTAGTCCATCTCAGCTGTTGGCATTTGTTAATGTGACCTCATTACAGATGTAATATGAAGCAAATGACAGCCTGCAAGAAGTTCTTCATTAAACATGCAGTGTTCAGAGTCTTGGTGGATGTGTTTGAAACTCTCTAAATACGACACGTACATAATGCTAATCCAAAGCTTTTAACTAAAGTAGATGAAGCAAACTTGCTACAGGGAATATATAGGGAATGTAATTTATTGGGGCATATTGTGCATAGTTAAATGTACTTGGAATGTTTGGTCTCTATTTCACAGGCAAAACATCTTTTTTTTTTTTTTTCTTTGAAGAAAAATGCTATGTCAGTCCTTGTGGTGGAGTCATGGCTTTTGACTCACGTTTTCTTGTTCTAGAGATTTTAAAAAAACGTTCTGTGCTCTCAGTCACATAGCCACCCCTCACCAGAAGGTGAGCTACAGAGAAAATATCAAAAGTCTTGTATGGAGGTAGGAAAACAGACATTGAATTGTATAAAACACTCTAAACAAGTTAAACCATGCTTTAACAAATAGCTTTATTTTAAGTAATCTTAATGGTTTTCCAATTCTAATTTCTTTTAGTTGTTGCTGTTATAATAGTTCTAAATATTCAGCTGTTACATTAGATTTTATATTTTGGTCTGCCTACAGGTATTTTTTAAAATCTCTTTAGTTCGCAAGAGTAATAATACAGCAATATTTAGTTAGGCAGGAGGGATATAAACTTTAAACTCACATTTACTTTATTAAATGAAATAGTGAGCCTCTTAGAGGCTTAAATGAGAAGTAATGCTGCTATGAAGCTCTAGGTAACCTCCTCCCAGACCTCTGTAAAGTAGAGAGAAGATGCTGCCCTAAGGAGAAAGGATTTAAAATTTGTAGAGCTGCAGGTATATGCTAATTGCAAGGTGCAGTCTTGCTGGATACCTCTTCTCTAATTTGCTGCTAATTATGTAGCTGACCTTTTTGAAAGTATCCCCCCACCCTGAGGTTGAGCTAGCAATGCTACACTTATCAACATTTTTCACATTTAATTTATTTTAACCATTTGTGATGCTCTCTTTCGTACTGCCGTGCTTGTAACGTGTTCCTCATGCATGAAATATAGCTGCTTTTTTCACCCAGGTACATGGTAAACAGTGTATCAGTGGAGGGTGGATACATACTCCCTTCATTCTTCTCAACTATTGTGAAAAACACCAGGTTATTTTTTAACATATTCATCATAAGTACCTATTGGTGTGCATGTATGCTCTGCTCTGTGCAGTAGGTACACTGTATTTACCAAGTTGCATACAGTGGTGGTTGTGTATATAAACTCCCACATGTCTGTGCTGTGTGTAAGGAAATGTTCCTAGCTCTTCGCAGTTCTGTTTCCCATGTCATTTACCGCTTGGGGCAGTCACTGTTTTATAGGACCTTCAAGCCATGAAGGAGAGCAAGTGCTTTTTCCAGAGCTGCCGTGGTGTGTTAGAGGTACTGAGCTATGAAGCAAGCTTCACGCTTGCTATTTTAGTCTGGCAGAAGCGACTGAGCTTGGTCTCTAACCACCTCTCACTAGGACGTAACACCGCAAACTGTGTGTGCTAGCGCAGGAATAGATGCAACACTTGTAATACGTGGCCCACTTTCTCCAGTCTTAGTCCCGGCTTAGTTATAAGTACTTCCAACAGTCTTCAGACTTCGAAAGCCAGTAAGTTTGCCACTTCATTCAAATATCGGCAGTCCTGCCAGTATTGTCACAGGAGTATATCCTGTACCATGAAAAGGATTGCGTACGCACCCTTCAGACAACCGATCTTACTGTCGTCTTGCATCCTCAGAGTGGCACTCCTGAAGCATCGCCGATGTCTATTCGGGTGTGCTTCTAAATTGCTATATCATGTAGTAGTTCATCATGTGAAATCGTTATACTTAATGAATTGTTTTATGGAGTCTGTTGCAAGACAGTCCACTGTAAAAATACTATAATAAAATATAGTTGGAATAGTGATATAGTGGAAGTGGAAAATTTTCCTCATTCAAGTCATAATGTTTAAAAGGTCAGTCCTGAGGTGGGTAATTTTTAAGCGTCATACAATTCAGTGTTGAAACAGTTTTCAGATCTCACTGTCCTTTATTACAAAAGCAATTTGCGTATATTTTCCAATACCACAAAGATGGATAAATAAAATATTTGAGACATATTTTCAATTTAAAATTTTGTATGAACTGAATTTTCTCCTTTTGTGTACTAAATAATGCTTAAGACAAAAACCTCAAACAAGGGTTTTAGATTTGCAGTGCAATATATATTTTGCTTTACTTATGGTTCCACTGGAATAATTATTGGAGATGAAATACAGAAATGTGAATAGAACCTGTGCTGTTTCTCTGACACTGCTGTTTCCCATTTTGAGAACGTTTGCCGTTGGTACAGTTACAGCCTGATGAATTAGACTTCCACTGGCAAATTAAATGATTTGTACCCCAAGAAAGAGAAAATTCCTGCATGTAAAATCTTTGTATAACAAATGGGAAATGCAAACAGTAATAATAGAGAGGGGTATTTCTGGACATTGTCTCACTGGGATTTAAAAATGGTACTTTGTTAGTCTGCAAGCAGCACTTTTTAAATGAATGGTTGTAGATTTGTAAATATGTAATGTTTAAATTTTATTTACCAAAAACCAGTATGTTGGATGTTTGCTTTGGTTTGTAGTTCCTTTAAAATATGCAAAGCCAGTGTTCACAATGTTAAGGTTTTTTTCTGTCTCATCCAAAAAAAAGTTTTACAGTGAGTCAATAAAAAGCTTAAAATCTTTCTGGTTATTTTCATTAACATTTTATTAGATGGATTAGAATGACAGAAATGTCTGCAACTCTGAACTACATTGTTTGCTCACATGAGGCGTTAACAATAAACCTTTCAGGTTTGTTGGTGTCGGTGGCGTTCTGACATAGTGGTTGTGTAGAAGGCAGCGCTAACAGTGAGAAGTAGTGCTGGGTACAGTAATCTGTACATTTCAGAGGTGGGTGTCGGGATGAAAACAAAACTCAAGAAGTTCAACTTCCTTGTAGTATTTCTGATTCCTGGGTTTAGTTTTTATCAGGGATGAGGTGGTATTCTAACCCCAGATACGTTTTGTCTTGTTACACTAAAATGTAAACCCATGTGACATCCCACTTGTACTGGTGGCATTTCATGTAAGTTTTGGGGATTGTACTGCAAGATTGGGGAGAGATCTAAAAGGAGCCCTATGGATAGCTTTCAGGATTGCTGTGCACCTCTCAAATCCTATGTTCTTCTGCATGCAGAAATGACTCTTACTGTTTTGCTTTTTCCTTTAAAACCTTGGTATTACATTTCCCACAGCCTTAAGAGGGACAGCAAAAAGCATTTAAGTACATCGCACATTCCCGGGCGTATGTGTAGAGTACCAGTTGTGGGTGTTTTATAGTGGTAGTCACTGAAAGGATGAAAACTACCTCTGTGTTAGGGAAGTCACAGCAAACTAGCTGCAGCATGAACCTTGGGAACCGCTGTGCTGATGGCTTTTATGCAGTGTGAGGGAGTTCACTTCTCAAATGCAGAATGTGTGTCCGCACAATGATCTTAAGCAGAGTAATTCTGTGAGGGCAAGCCATAGAGGTCTGGTTCTGTCCCCACTGAAGTAAAGTTCATTGATTTCAGTGAGTTTGAGCAGTTTACTAAGGAATTTAAGAGTGTGTTCCTGAAAATACTGCTATAATGAGTAAACATTCTGTACTGAAAACCAGCTCCGTTAACTTGAGAGCATCAGCCATACTGAAAACTTTATGCATCTGTATGGAATCGGCCTTTCTATGAATGCCTAAATACGTATGTTATTTGATATTGCTCACTTCATTATCTGTTCTTTTGTGATCCTGAAGAAAAACAGTAGAGGCTGACATACCACTTGAGAATTTATTTTTTGGTATGTTAAAGATACTTTATTCTCAGCAAGTTTGTTTTAATTCTGGTTGCTTTTTTCAGTAGAACAATTGCTACCTTAAACCCCTTTGGATTTTGATGTATGCTTACATACATCTTGAAGTGTCCAAATGTCATACAGATACTGGGCAGGATATTATCTTGTCTTCTAACATCACACTGATGATCAAAAACACAAAGTAAAGAGCAAACATAGTGAGCCCCAGTAGTTTGTTCATTTTCCATTTACATACAGCGATTGAGATAATCACAAACAGGAGCATGAGAAAAAGGAGAACAATAGCACAAAACAAACCATTGCTACTGACTGCAACTGGACTGAGCCCATTGAAGACGGAATAAAGGAACCAAGGAACTGGCAAACTGCAAATAAAGGAAAAGTAATTGAAATAAATATTTTAAGGCAGTTCATTTTCTGCATCATAACTAAGCAATTTTTCCAAACTTACAGGAGAAAAAAAATAAATGCCTGATTGCTTTCAGTATAGCTCAGCATAAATCTAAAATTGATGTTGTTTGTGTCAAAAACTGCATTTGGAAAATACTTGCACTTTCATAATGCAATCTAAGATTCTAAAAGAGTTTTTAAAATAGGACCTATGAATTAAGTGTCTCAGCATGCTATGATAAATAAGTCCTGATGCTTTGTTGATGACAGATGCAGGTGCAGATACCAAGCCTTGCTTGCATAGGATCTGAACATCTCACTGGGTACGTATCTGGTCTGTAAATCTTTCGTGCTAGCCACAGATTTTTTGCATTTTTTTCCTAAGATATCAGTAATTTTCTCTTGATTCAGGATCGGGTGAAGATGGTGGTGTTTCTGTTTTGAGCTATATACCATTATTTGAAGCTGCAGAACAATGACATGAGCTATGCAACTTCATGTTCAGTCTGCTGCACTAGGTTATAAAAGTATCTTTCCTAACTAGGTTAGGTTTTAAAAAAAAATAAGCCAAAAAAAACCCTGGTTTTCCAGCTGCCCTTCATTTAACTACAGCTAAAATGAAATTAATTAAGACCCTGTTTGGAATAAAACCACCTTCCTTTGTACTTCAGAAGGAATGCATCTTTTAGCATTGAACCAATACTCACCCAACAGTGATATCGAAGATATTGCTGCCCACAGAACTGGAGACAGCCATGTCACCTAAGCCTTTCCGTGCGACAATGACGCTGGTGATGAGGTCAGGGATTGACGTTCCTGCTGCCAGTATGGTTAGCCCCATAATTTCCTCTGATATCCCAATTGTTTCACCAACCTAATAAACACAAAGTTTTTTAATCCACTTAAACACGGTAGCATTTTTTCTGCTTTACAGGATAAAAAGTTAAATTTTATAGTGTATGTTGATCTTAGATTTGCTCTATAGCATAGGGCATCTGATCACAGGGTTGCCAAGACTAAGCAAGGCGAAGTCAGTCACAGCGCAATTCATTCTTCTGTCCTAAGTTCACCTCTTCTGGATGTCTTCTACCTTTCCCTCTCCAAATTTAACATCAGCTATGTATGATCCGAGAGCTTTGGGAAATTACAGTCTCTGGATTTATGGCTTGATCAACTATATTGTGAATGTGCGATATATCACTAACTACAAATTGTGGGTCTGATTCTACAAGATGTGCAGTGTTGTTCCCAGAATATCAGGTGAACATTAAGGCAATGGGAGTTGAGACCATTTAGCAGCTTCCAGAATTGGAACCTGTATTTTCCCAGAATTTTAATTAGGTAAGGGATAATTATGTTCTGCACAGAAGCATTCATCAATGAAAAGGCAGCATTAAGATAAATCTTGACAGCACTTTTCCTTTCACTGATGCACAAATTCCCTTGGAAGCTCTCAAAAAAGAATGACTCTGTCAAATTGAAAAGAATGAAACTGAAAATTCCCAGTTGGGTTCTAACAAACCAAAGTTTCTACTGTTTTGATGGATGACTGCAGCTGTAATTCATCAGATAAAATGCCACAGTGACACTGTTCCCTCTCTCTCCAGCTGCTTGTTCTGAAATGGTCTCATTTGCAGAGAGAAAATAAACCCCTCACCTGGTGAGCCCACCACACCATGAGGTAAGAGAATACAGCAATCCAGAGGATGGATCCAAAAAAGGTGATGACAAAGAATTTTTTTGAGTCCTGTTAAAATCAAGTGTGAAAAGAGAAACATGGAGAAGTTTCAGGAAAGTTAACAATCTCTAATGAAAATTATTCACCTGAAACACTTTACTGCAATCAATTGCTTGAACATGGACCCTGGTCTCTCTAATTGTATTTATTTTTTGTCAGCTTAATTAGATGACCAGTAGGTGCTAGTATTTTGCGGTTTATGAAATCTCTGGAACTATGCTATGCTGCAGCTGGGGCTCCCGTCCCACTCCCTGCAGCATTAACACGTGCCTCAAGTATGTGGAGACTCTAAACATGGAAAAACATGGGGACCCTTGCCAAGAGGAAATCTATAGTTCAGTTAATGAATCCAGTAGCAGAAGGAAGATAGAGTCTTACTGGGTTTCTAACATCAGGCATAGTGCTCCAGAGAGGAAAGACAATGGGAAAGAGAAAAAGGTAAATTGCTTGTTTTTTCCTAGTTTCTGGCCATTCAAGAGATAACGGCTCATCATTTTCATCATCATCTGTGCTGTCATCATCGCTGTCTTCCTCACTCTTGGAGCTGCTGTCTTCTGAGGTATCGCTGTCTGAAGAGGGCTGTAGATCAGGAGGGGGGGGAAAAAAAAAGCCAATATGTTGGAGCTGCACAGCATTTACTCACCATGGCCTTGCCTTGGCAGAGGTCACGTCTGTAACGTGGCTGAGGGCAGCCACAGCCCGCATCTTGCTATGGTGGGACAAAATCCAGGCGAGCCCTACCTCAGTGCCTGTGTGTTACGTTAAGTAATTTCTATCAGTTAACTAGAACCGGGGGTTTGACACGAATGAAACATTTACTCTCTGTCTTTGAAAACCCTTCCTCATCCGAACAGCCAAATTACATCAACTGAAAGGAGGGATTAGGGAAACAAAAAAACCTGCACTGATGGACACAGGGATACTCGTATCTCCCCGTATGCTGGAGTACCGCTCTGACCTCAGAAGTCATTTGAGGAGAAAATACTACAGAGTATCAGTTGGTGTCGTATTTTGGACCTGATTTGTCTTTGTAATCTGAAATGTTTCGGCTAACACCTTAATATATCTTGTCACACACAGTCTATTTATAGTTGCTAGAAGGAAAGTACATGTGAAGTTTGGTCTGGACCAAGCACTTATTGCTTATGATACTTATTTAAATACCTGTCCAGCTTGCGGTGCGTCTGCCTTCTGTTCATCTTTGCTGGGTTCAGAGTCGCTGGCGGGAGTTACCTGAACGGTGCTTGGTGCCTTCTTTTCCTCTTGGGCTAAAAGGGATGAGAAGGAACACTGGTTTCAGTCATCTTGGCGCCGGGTGGTCACCTCGCCCTGGACCGCAGGGAGGTTTGAGCTTCCCACAAGAATGTCTGGCACTTCATGTTAAACGCAGTCTGATTGCTTAGGTTTGTCCCCTCTGTCTTCTGAGCGTTGTGATTAGTAAAAGCCAGGCAGAATCTGGCCCGCCCGGCATAGACTGACACCCTGACGCTCCTATGACCTTCTCTCCGAAACCGCTGTAAGAGGCACATGCGTAACAACAGGGAAATGTTAATTAACTGATCTACAACTGATGAGTGCTTCTTGCTTTCAGTCTGGATTCTGAAGATCTTATTAAAGCCATCCTTAAAAGCCAGAAAAGATGTAAAGCTTTGCTTCCCCCCTTTTTTTTCTTGTAGAGCATGGCATTCTCCAGGGAACTGATATTCTTTGAGGTTTCTGAGAAATGACTGTGATGTGGTGCCAGACTTTAATCCCTGATCATTTGGTAGGTATTCAAATGCAAATAGGAAAGTGCTGACACATACAAGGAAATAACTGCGATGTCCTCCGTGCTGTTCCTGTGTTAACCTGCGTAGCCGAGAGGAACGCAGAAACCTCTGTACAGAACAGTGTAGAAATGCGGATATTTTTATCTCTCAGAGCAGAGGTGAGAGGGAGTGCCTGACGCCCCGCTCGGTCACGGCAAGGGCCTTTCCAGAGTGCTGCAATTTAGGTTAAGGGAGCCCTTCCATATAGTCCAGTCTGTCACATCAGTTGGGTCCTGTTATCCCTGTTGTTATCCTGTGAATTGTACCAGGATGGGGCATTATAGGGCATCTTATCCTGAACTGGGTAAGCTGAGCCAGTACAGTGCCTCACAACTGCACTAGGGAGCAAGCCTAGAGAGATTTTCAGAAAAGTATGTTTTCAGTGAGTGCCGTTTGGGATTTCTGGAATCAGGCCTTAAGAGTTCACCTGGGATACTTTCAGCCCGAAGTGGGAGACAGAGCGATAATGCTTTTGGAAGGTGCACTGTCTATGCACTAATAAAGTTTGTGGAACATGTCATGGGGTGAAAATTCATAGTTCGGTGAAGCCAACGTGGCGTTGATAACTCGCCCCGAGAATTTGCTTGTTTTTTGAACAGTATTTTCCTCAAGTTTGGTGTCATTCACGTAGGTGAGGCCCAGCGCTGTGAGGTACTCGGGTGACTGCTGTGCTGCAGCAGGGTGCTGGTGGAGGGGGGACCTTCCACACGAATGTTTGCTGTTTTTCAAAATGTCCAGCCTCGCTGACACCACAGACACAGGCCAGCTGCTGCCCCTGAGTCAGCTCAGAAAGCCTGTGTATCAGTGGTCATAGAGAAAAACCAAAAATTATTAAAAGGGAGGATGCACAGACCCTTAGAATTGATACAGACAAAGTCAGTGCAGCTTTTCTCTCTGGAGGAATCTTCTGCGCTCTTCTGCAAGCATGCCAAATTTCCAAGGTAAATGAAGGTACTTTGTTTTAAAGAACACCTCATTTGCAGGGTCTGCCACAGATTAGCAGCATAGCAGCACCCAACTGCTGTCCGTAATGGCCTGATTTCCCCTCTTCCACCCTTCTGGTGGCAGTTTGCACTACATCCTTGTAGCACTTTCTGTTTGGATCCTACCTCACTAACCACTCCTAGAGTCCTGTGGGGATGGCTTTTATTGCCCGCTGTTAGCGTGCATCGATTGATTTCCGCTGCATTATTATAGCAGCCATCTGTGACCAGTAATAACAGAAAAATTGTGTTAGACCACATGGTTTCTTTGCCAGCCCTTGGGTGTTGCGTGCTGGGAAGGTGAGGGATTGCAGTGCGAAACAAGGCGAAGAGCACTGACTCTTCCTGCACTCACCTTCTGGTTTTGATCCTTGTCCGGCTAGAGCCTCTACTTTGGCCTTGGCTATGTTGCTCAGGATGTCAACTCTGTCTTTAAATTTTGCTGTGGATGAGAAGGAACCATTTGTCAGCAGCTGCCAGCTACGCAAAGCCCCTTTACCTGCCTCCCCCAGCACATGCACCCCCCACCCCTCTCCTCTTGCGTGGATTGCAGTCAGCGCTGACTTGCGAGTTGTGTTTCTGGCTGTGCTGTGGCCCGAGGTTTTGGCTGCTGCTAGTCGGTCATAGCTGTCATATTTAAATGCTTAGTACTGTGGCAATTACGCCAGCAATTTGACAGGTAACCAGTACTTTCATATTTAAAAGAGAATCTAGAGGGAGAAGAAATCTTTCCCAGTTGAATAAAGAGGCGATATCTGTCCTTCACAGGAAGCAAATGCAGAAAGAGCGGAGGAGGAGTTTCAATGCAATGTTTTGTTCCCAAAGGACTGTTGATTTTTTTCAGGCTAGACTACGTGCAAGCTAAAAATGACACCTTCCTTCTGCCGTGTGGCTGTTGAAGAGGCTTTACTGTGCTGCTTGCAGCCTGGTGACTTGATGGTAAGGAAAAATAAAACCCTTTTATGTTCCTGTTATCTGGAAAATCATTGATTTCTCTAAGTATACATGAGCATCTCCTCTGCTGGAGTTGATCTAAATTGCTGGTATCCAGGTTCAACATGGCCCAGGCTACCCAAGAGATCATCCTCACCAGTGCAGTTTCCAGTACCATATTTCTGGGACTGCTGAGGACTTCTGCCACTGTATACCATGCGCTGCTCAGCTGAGCTGCTTTAGTATTGTTTTACAGTCAACTGTGAAACTGTGTGTGTCTCCGTAGTTAGGTGTTGTGCTCAAATATCTTAACTCCCACTCTCATGGAAAGTGAGCAAGTCATTGGCTCAAAGAAAAGCTTCATTTTCCTCTAATCTGTATCGCCTGATGAGCTGACAACCCAACCACTAAGCTGAGGGTCACAGGGTTTGCACATGGACGGTAGCCACAAGAAATTGGCCATGCTATGCTTGGCTTCTGTGCAGGGCTATAAATTAATTTCCTCTGAAAGTTTTAGCACACTGATTTAATCTACTGTACTGTTAACAATGCAACCAGAATGTGCTGTTGCCCTTTGCCTCAAGGGCAGGGCTCTGCCACTTTATTCACCACCGTGATCCTGAGTTAATAGGAATAGCAGGTCTCAGGCCCTCGGCCATGCAGGCAGATCTAACGTTCCGAGCTGAACCTTGTGAAAATCAGTAGCCTCTGGTCTATGGCCAGTAACTGAGACTGGCTCAGACATTAAGGCCTCCGGGGATGAGTCCTATTCTGGTGAGATTCCTGTTCCCGTCTGACAGAAACATTTTTCGCCAACTGGGATTTCCACTGAACACTGGAATGGCTGGACAGAGATGAAATAATGATCTCTTCTCCTTTGAAAGTCTGGCTGGGACCGAAGAGCCTGACTCTTCCAGGCTCCTTGTCAATATTGAAGCCTACCGGAGAGAATGGAAAGCACTTTGCTTCGTTCCCCCTCTGCTGATGCGAAACACAAGCATAACCCGTCGGTGCAGGGCAGCAAAGAGGTGACCTTTTGCTCCCAGGCTCCTCTAACCACGGGGCATGCATCTTTCTGTTCAGCTTTTCCCAGAAACTGTTGCAAAAGCTTCTGTCAGCAGGGTCAGGGCGGTCAGGCTCAGCCTGGAAGAGGTTTATATAAATTCAAGCTCCTGGCTTCCTGCCCTCGCCTAGGCTGCAGGCTGCGAGCCCCGGCCCGAGCGGAGCCTGTGAGCATCTCTGTGTCGGGATAAGCGGATTAGGTGCAGGCCACTATCCGGTTCTCATGAGATCAGCCTCCTTTAAAAGGGTGTTAATTCCTGTGACACGCATTTCGGGCAGGATGGCGCGAGGTGGGAGGAAGAGCCGGCTGTAAGC